TGCGGCTATACGCTCCAATTCCAAATAGGCTTTATAGTGCTCAGTAGCAATGGGACTCATGCATCTCGTGGCCTTCCTTTGTTCCTGTTCGAACAAATCAAGAGTTTTTTCCAATGTGGCCTGTACCAAAGCTCTGCACGGCAGGAACCTAACGCCTTTCAAGACGTTGTTGTAGCTCTCCGACATATTGGTCGTCAATGTGCCCCATCTATGTCTTCCTTCATCTCCATACAGGGTCCACTTGTTCAAAGGAATGTCGAAAAGGTACTTGTGTGCCTGGGGATTAAATTCCAACAGTCGTTGTTCTGTCGCTCGAAAATTTCGCTCCGACAATTGCGAACCCAAATCCCAACACCAATCACGCACTTTCCTATTCCTAAAGTTAGTGACCACGTTGCTTTGAAGGTGTCGAAGGCAAATCCGGTGATATGCAGCGGGTTCTTGCCAATCAACCAACGAGTCAATGGCACTGAGTATGCCGTTATCCCTGTCGGAGAGAACACAGATATGTCGGTCGAACACAACATATTGCCGCACATTTGTAAGAAAAAATGACCAACTATCCTTGCTTTCTTCATCAACAATCGCTTAGGCGATTGGCAATAGCCGCTTATTCGCTGTCTGTGCTATAGCCACAAGCAGTTTTCCCTTGTACGATCCGCGCAAGTGTGTGCCATCGATGCTAATGACCGGCGGGCATCATTGGAAGGTCTGAATGGTGGGACCAAACGCCCAGAATACAAATTTGAATTGTCTGTTTTCATACTGATGCGCCATTTCCCCACCCTGCCATTCCCACTGTACAACTGTGGTGGGATTCGCTCATTGAAGCACGGCGAAAAACCTGCAAACTACAATACAGTTTCGTAAATAGATAAACATAGCGACCGTCAAACGACACATGTATTTGTAATTAAGTTTTGCTTACCGAGGGAGTTCTGCGAAGTTCGATTCCCAATAGCCATACACACGCTCGATGGCTTTTCTCCTTCCGTGCCACGCTTTCTTGTAGCTGACATCGACTTTCCAGCACTGTCTCACATCGGCCTAGATAAGTCTAACGTTGTAGTCCAGTTTATTTTCAATCTTGTTAATTACAAGATTTGAAATCATACGAGCGGTTACGTTTCTGTGGTCATTTCTCTCGACCTGTTGCATACAAGTGTGTCTGTCAGACCATTCAGTTATTTCCCGCATTTCATGAACCCGTTTCTTAGCCACCCGAGCCTTCCACACACAAGGTTCATCTTCATTAGATCTGCACACCACTTTGCATGACTTCTGATTAGAATTTGTCCGAACCGCCCTCAGCCTATCAACGTTCCAAGCCAACAGACCCCATTGTGCTTCTTCCTTGCTTTTAAAAACTGTACCCAAACATATGGTCTCAATGTCGCCATTCCAACGTGGAAGAGCATACTCGTTCTCATCTATCTTCGATGGCTCCCATTCACCCATCTCGCGATAAATGTGGCGACCACCACTAGGAAGAGGGTCTTCCTCTTCAATCAATTCGGGTTCACTCTCCTCATTTATCGATCTGTCTGATTCGCTTTCGGAGGTCTCATCTGTGAAATCATCTTCACCAGGAATGAAATCTTCATCGCCTTCTTCTTCTTCCCAGTTCTCATTTTTCCATTGCATTGTTGAGCTTGTCCCTTCTCCAAAATTACGTAGATGGGAAGTCGACGTATCCTCAACATCTACCTCTCCCCCGTAACACCCCCACACATCCTCAACCTGTGTAACCGGTGTAATTGCCTCCAACGATAAATGCAAATACACCATGGACATAGAAGGAAGGTAATAAATATACTGAAGAACACTTTTGTTATTGAGTCTTAAGAAATTCAACGAACCACCGCGTTGCTCAACTATTAAAGTAATCTCCTTCATTGTCCAATCTTCTCCGAACCAACAATTTTCATTAATCATTTCTACCAATTGTTGATATGATATCCTCTCCGGAATAAACAATGAACCATCCGGACGATCTTTAAATAAAACAAATTCACTTAACCTTTCCTTCGCAAAATGCCAGTACAAATTAACAAAGTATGGACCGGAAAATGCCATTAATACCTGTTGCAAAAAGACACTTTCAATTCTTCCCAATTACAACAACACATAATGTCTAATGTCTAATCCAACACCAAAAAAATTCAATTTTTTCGGATAAATTAAAAGCCCTAATTTTAACCCTAATTTCGAAAACCTTAAACCCAACAACAACCAACCAATACACAATTAACAATTTACAACAAAATTCCAATCTCCAATTCAACATATACACATATTCGATAAACAATTAACAATTAACAATTCCCAATTTTAAATCAACACCACATTCAAAAATACTATAACAATTCCAATTTCCAAACAACTCCAAACAATGTAAAAAGTTAAGATAAGCCAGTATACCTTGTGCGAATGAATTAACCGGAAATTAGACTCGTGTCGTTGTTGTCGATTTGCGTCGGGTAGGATTGGATCGTGTTTTTTTTTCCCGAAGTTCTTCGCTTCAATCGCAGCAGAAAGAGGAAATGGGAGCTGTGCAAGTGAGGGAGAAGAGATATTTTTTTTTTATATTTCATTGTAAAACGTATTCTCAGAATACGTTTTACTTCTAATTATTTGTAAAACGTATTCCCAAAATACGTTTCTGTTATTTATTTATTTTTATTGGTAAATTTAAATTTATAAACGTATTTACTAAATACGTTTTATAATTATTATTTTTAATTCAATTCCACTATTAAACGGAAACTTATTTTTTTTTTTAAAATAATATTTATAAAACGTATTACGAGAATACGTTTTTCTGATAAAATTTTATTAGAAAAATATATTATCAGAATACGTGGTTTTGTTATTTTTCCACTTCTTTTTTCTTTTTGTTTTTATCCACTTATTTTTTTCTTTTTTTAAATAAATAAATCACCCTTGTATAAAAGATATAATACTTCTTTCATTAAATACTACTCCCTCCTATTTTTAATATTTGTCATTCTAGGTTAATTGATCATTTGTTAAATAAATGTCGTTTTGGCTATTTTGTTCATATTTTTCCTTTTTAACCCCTCTATCAATACCCATTGTCTCTTCATATTCCCAAGAACATCCATCCACAATTGTGTCATTAAATAGGGTTAAACTTGAAAAGAAAAATATTTCTTAATTAGTGTGTTGATAGCTAGAATGACAAATATTTAAAATCGGAGGGAGTATAAAATAAAATTTGTAAAATTACAACTTTAAACCCCACAGGCCACAAAGATCAAAACCTTGCGATGCCCCCTTTATTAGGGCGTACTCTCCAAGTATATATTTGCCAGCCGACCCTCCGAAATTTCAACTCTCGACCTCGTGCTTTTCCCTCTTCCAAACCCTAAGCAAAACCTAATGGCAACTCCATCTGGGCTTCTCCGTTGCACTAGGGCGCTCTTCGCCGTTGCCAGATCCGCCACTCCGGTCGCCAACATATCTCCTTCCGCCACCAAAGTGGCCTCCTCCTCCGCCGCTTCGAAAAAGCCGAAGAGTTCGAAGGAAAAGAAGCCTTCCAACGCAGGGATCACGAAGACGATGCCTATCTCTGCCACGCTCCAGAGCCTTGTTGGCGCACCGGAGGCTTCTCGTGCCGAGGTTGTTAAGAAAGTCTGGGAATACATCAAGCTCCACAATCTTCAGGTATTGTTGCCCGAACATTTGTTTCTGAACTTTTTGTAAGGGACTGCTTAGTCTGAAAGTAGCATGTGTGAGTTTGTGTTTATGTGTGTGAAGATGTTATTAGGGCTGTCTTCGAAACAAATTGAGCTCCGGTATATCTGACTGTGTGGGATTTTCCACTGTTTCGTTTATTGAGCTTTCAACATATAGTTGCTGAATAGCTGTTTCATCTTGTAATTTGAGGATTTCTGTATAAAATGATTTGTTTAATCTGAAGTTACAATGATGTATTGACATATAAAATGTTGTGACAAACAAGATTTCAGGTGCAATCTACCTGTTATAGACCATCTCGGGCCGTATACTCTATAATATAATTTACTCTAGATTAAACCAAAATTTGAGTTTTGTTTCCAATCGTTTGTACTAAATTTTACTCTACATGAAATATTTTCTTCTTACTATTTATCTTTGAATTAATTTTAATATTCATATTGAGATAACTAAATTCCTTGTTTTCTGATTTATGAAAATATATTTACATAGAACAATACTTATTCATAAGTTCAAACACTAGGAATATAAATCACAAACTGATGATTTAGTTATGTTATTGTGTTTTGGTTTATGCATTTTGTTGTTGACGTGTTCTATGTTCTAATTTTAATTGAATAAACTTGTTATTTTTTTGGAAAATTTCTAATTAATATTGTAGTAATTTAAAATGTATATATTTTCACAAAACAAATTAAAATACACCCAAAATCAAATTACGAATTAATTTAATCTAATAATAAATTATGTGCACACTATCAAATATAATCCAAATTATATATAAACAAGCAAAGACAAGAAAAAGATATACTGTACATCCCTTCATTTTGGAGCAATACTTTACCGCTGCACTGGAGAAGAAAAAGGGCACTACTCTAGCAAAATCATCAAATGTGGTGCAGCACTTGGCCTGCGCTTATTATGAATTTTCTCCGCTTATTATGAATTTTCTCCTGTGGACATTTTACTTATTTACTACTGTTTTATGTTTGACAATGTAGTGTGTTCCTGATTTATTTATTGCACTTGTCTTTGATCAGATTTGACATTATTCTGTCCTTATCACACTTTGTTGTTCTTTTGTTACCCTTGCTTTGGAAAGCTACTATAAAAAATGTGCATATGATTTTTGAAAAATTAGATTGTTCTCTGAGAAGCTAGAAAAGCTTAAAATCGAGTCACCAATCAGGGGCACCCTGCGAGTCTTCTATTACATTCAACTCATATTACCCCTTTTTTCGGCTTTCATTAGGTTGAAGTATTTACCGTTATGTGTATGTTTTTTTCTTTTTTGTTCCTTTTTCATGTAAGGTCTGAAATATCATTTGGGTGGCATGTTTTTGTATTTTCTGGGACTAAATGATTCCTGGATTTTGGGGAAAAAATTGGAAATAGAGGGAGTAAAAAAAAAAACCAGGTGCGGCTTACTAGTTCTGTTATGAGTGTTTTGCTGAAAATCATAGTTTCCATAATAATTTGACAGGATTATGCCAATTCGTAAAATTTTCACTATCCCGCCTCCTTTTGAGCACTGGCCACTTGCATAACGTAGTGGTTACCAGAAAATAAAAGTAGGTGACATGCCGCCCGACATGGAATATGGATATTTCTAAAGAAATGTATTCTCTATGTTGTGGGGGATTGTAATCATACTTTACTCCTTTTGCTTCTTTCCATCATTATGACCAAGCAATCAGTTACGAATTTGCTTCTTGGATGTTATTAGAATCCATTTCAAGCACAGTCGTTATTTTCTCCCTGCCTTTTACGGTGCCTCTGCATTTTACTTTTATTTTTTCTTTCTGCCTAGTTTATTTTATTTAATGAGTTACATAATGTCTATAACATACCAGTAGAAGTTTTCGAAGTGAAATCTCTTTAGTGCTGAGAAGTGGATTGCTTAAATTAGCTGGATGAAGTCTTTTTTACTAAGTTGCTCCTTGGATATGCCTTATTGAATTGTCCAGTTCAGCTTTCACAGCCGAGCAGATATACATGCGCATTATCAGAATTTACTTTTTCCTCATCCTGTTGTTTAATGGATTGAAGTAAGCGTGGATGTTTTTTCTTTTTTTTTTTTGTTTTGCTTGCAGAACCCATCAAACAAGAAGGAGATTTTGTGTGACGCTAAGCTCAAGAAACTGTTTGATGGAAAGGATAAAGTGGGGTTTCTCGAGATTGGAAAGCTGCTTACCCCCCATTTTATCAAGTCTGGTTAACTGCTGATTGTGTGGCAATCTTTTCTCCTGTGGATTAACGTCCTTTGCCCAATGAACCTTTGAACTATCTTTAATTTGGTTGTCGTGTTGCGAACAAGTTTTTAAGTTTCCTATGTTTTGGTGAACTGGCCACTTATCTTCGTAGGTTGACTTTGTTTAGGGAATGTTTAGGAAGTGTTTTGCCAGCTTGTGCCTTTTGCGTCTCATTTGGATCTTTTTCTTCTCGTTTGGAAATATTTAGGATGATGACTTGTTTATGGTATTTGCTTTTTGTTCACATGCTCTCTCTCTCTCATGTAGTTGAAAGCTTTTATCGAGTGCAAATCAACTGTGATGTGAATATAATATACAATTTACCCGACCACCATTGTAGTCCTCGCTGGTGACCTCATTTCCAAGTGAATAACATTTAAGCATTTGCATCTGCTAAAGATGGTGAGATGGTGATCGGTTGACCAAAGGGTAATAGAATATGATCCTTTTCAATTAAGCCGATAAAATACATTTCTGTTTCTTATTGTCATGCCTTATTTAGCACAGGGTAATTGAATGCGATCCTTTTCAATTAAACTGATAAAATACATTTTTTTTTTTATTCTTTCTTATCGTCATTTCTTATTCAGATCTACATGGAATAAACAATTGTTTCAGGAAAAATTGAGTGTAGAAATACTCTTGGTTTCAGCGAGAAAGAATGTTAATTTACAAAATCCCTTGAAAAGGAGAAAAGCATTGCAGTGAATGCATAAAAATCAAATCACATTTTGACTAGACACCAAATACTGGCTCTGGCAATGTACATTCTTCAGGTGAAGAGATGATGTATCCATTGTTCAACAATTGCAGGCGACCCATACCATGGTCTCATCTCATCATCTGAACCCACTGGTGAATGGCACACACCATCAAAACTGATATTCAATGCACCTTCAAGATGTGCCGACATCTCAGGCACCACACCATCGCCCCAAACGTCTGCTTGCCCACATACCTTACACACATTCCACCCAAAATTCATAAACAATGAAATGCCTTGTGGTGTATATCAAGACATGAGAGAAATAAATTGCATACAAAAATTTTTCACTCAAAGTTGATCTTTTTGGTTAACTAGAGTTGATTTGAAAAAAGATGGTATGGTTAGTTGTTAGTGGAATTTTAGATTTATATTAAAAATAATATTTAAAATAGAATAATTAAAGTTGATTTGATGTAAAAGTAGGAGAGAGATGACATAAAGTAATGGTTAGTTGAAATTATGTGAGTGAATGAATAGTGAATTAAAGTAGATGTGATGTGTAAGAATGATTGGACGGTATTATTTAATTATATCGATAATATTGAGGATATTGGAGTTGAGTTACAGTTGGGTTAGATTTTAAGTTGAATGATATTTTGAGTGAAATTTTTTGTATACAAACATGCTAAAAGAACCTGTTTGTATCCTTGACCAACAAATTGAGCACGCAAGGTGGTTGATGCTGGTGTTGATGTATCAACACCACCCATTTCACTGGCCTGTTGTTCAATTTGGACGAGGGTTGATGGACTTTTCCTGTTGTTCGATCCCACTAATCGAGCCCCTTGAATGTACCTGCGTATGCACTGAATCAGCTACAAGCTATCCCACTCAAGGATCAACTTTTTGACCAGGATTTTCCCTTTTTTTTTACCTCCCGGCAATGCAAACGTATTTGAGGTCACGGGTGTAAATGGCTTTAGGACAATGTTTCTCCACAAAATCCAAAAGACCCCTAGTTTGGTCTATGACTCCTGATACGCCTTTAGGTGGTGCACTGGAAAAAAGCAAAAGGAGCACCTATTTACAATATCAGATAAACACAAGTTTATAAAATTAATAAACCAAAGCATTTCTTAAATGAGTAATCACACTGTCAAGGGAAGTCCTTATATACAGGTGAGGAGTTCCTAATGTCAGTAATAAGGAAACATCGGATGTGCCAAATTCTTGCAAATAGACGCGGGCCAGCCATCCACCTGCTGAGTGCCCAATCAATGATAGAGTTGAGCCTGCACAAAATCGACTCAATTGTTAAGGGATATGCGAATGCTTCTAACATGAAAGCATGTCCATTGGTCAGCTGGAACTCCATTTGTCACCCTAACTCACTCTTGTTTTATGATTGTGAACAAGATCAAAATCTAAAACACAAATCAGTAGCTGGTAATAATATGATCTTGATTATAGTTACATGCTTTGGTATATTTTCATCTGGAAATTTTGATATGGTAGAAACGTCAAATTATGAAGGTTAGTTTTTTTCAGAACTATTTGTATCATACAAGAGAACTTCAAAACTTAATATTTTTTTTTTGTTGAAAATCTACAACTTAATAAGAGAGCACATCATTTCAATTTTTCAATGTGGTCAACCCATACATATTTCTACTTTCATATACACTCCGTCCTTGGTTTTTTTCTATAATTCTTGTTGTATAGAAGTAAGATTTCCTAAATCTTTTGCAAGAAAATTATCAACACTTCATAGAGGCTTAAAAAAATGAACCAAATCCCGTGTTATATTAAAAATACAAAAGAGATGCATAAAAGAAGGGATGGACAAAGAAATGAGAAAAAAAACCTTGAGCCAATTCCTTTGCCTCCATCACAGCTTTTCCAACCCTTTCAAGATACCTAGCATGGCAGACAGTCCAGAAGAGATGGATGATATGGCCAGATAACAAGGGGTGAAAAGTAACAATTAATTACACAGTCCTTAATCCCTCATACTCTTGTATAATCCAGAATATTGCTCTCTATAATCTTGTTTTTTTCACTTTGATTCTCTACTATTTCTCAAAATCTCATTTCAAAGTTTAATCATCGCAGTTTAAATACCCCACTTTACCTTCCATGACTACTCTTAGAACAGAAATTCATTCCCCTTAACTATTTTTATATTAGAATCACTTCAGTATGCTATAAAATAACAAATTAATATATTACATCGTTAAAGTATTATATGCTTAACAGATGAACCCAAAATCAAGAGAAATTTTTGAATGGGAGTCACCATCAATGAGGTGACGACGATTTACCAATCAAGAACAGGTCGAGGCCGGAGAGTGCCTCGCCAATAATTCGAGTCCAGCAAGCCAGCAGCATTTCTCAACCAATCAATCCTGGAAACCCTAGCAACCACACATGGCACTCCATAATCCCTCAAGATTAAGGCTAATTTCTCGTAATCATTCGTATTATTCCCCAATCCCTACACAGAAAATTACAATGCTCACTTCTCACTGCATTAGTAAAAACCCAACTGACGTTGGCAATGAGGTCGAATTAATACGTAACAAGGACGAATGAGGGGAGAGAAGATGAATTACTGGAAGAATTACGGCGGGACGGTAGGTGGTGGGCGAGGAAGAGACTGAATCGCTCCCGGAGAGTCTTGAACAGAAACGACAGCGGCGGCGAAGGCTTGATGTTACCGAGCATTTGAGTGGAGATGGTGGTGTAGGAAGTGGCGGCAGAGCAAAGGCCAAGGCACCCATCTTCTTCCACCGCCCCAATGGCGACGCCTTGCTGTCAGTTAGAAGTTTGCGGTGGTTAATATCCACCGACTTGGGATGAATCTTGCTCAGTGTTTTAAATCAATGCGCGTGCGTTTTGGTCTTTATATTGTGTAGCAAAAATAGATTTTTCAGTTTTATAAAAAATTACATATATATAACTATACAACAAGAATAAACATTTTAATCGAAGGACAATAGATTATTATTGAATATTAAATCCAAACAATAACATTGAAGTTTATTAATTTTTACAAACATTAAATTCTAATATCTTATAGTATTAATCATAAATTCATTAAATGATTAATTTAAGCTATTAAAATACAATAATACATGTCAATAATTTAAGTTTGACACTTATAGTTGAAACTATTGTTTTTATTTAATTTTCACAAATATGAGTCTAAGACAATAGAAATTATATATATATTTTTTTAAGTTTCAATATTTTGTTACTGTATCGTGAAAATAACGTAAACAAACGTAAAATAACGTGTCACATCAGCCATTTGCATAAGTATTTCAAGCATAATGCGAAGTCATAAATGCTTCATTGCGTTTTTGAGCAAAATTACTCTATTGCACGCTACACGACGCTATTTTAACACATAGAACTTGCCACATTTTATTTAGGAATTTTTTTCCTTTATTTACCTATCTAGCCCGTTTTTAGACTTTGCATTACGAACTTTTTATCTTAACAAATTACCTCTAAAAGTACGTGAATCTAACAATTTGGTTCCTCTAGTAAAAACTCTAAAATGACACATTTTTTTTTAACTCAATTAACAATATATTTTGAATTGATCTTTAAAACTGATTTAGAGCTTTTGAAGCCCATGGCGAGATGAACAAAATGAGGTATGATTTATCTATTTCGGAAAATTGATAAGTCGTTAATCGATAGACCATGAAAATATGCGCAAGTGTGTAAAGAAAAAAAACTTCGATTCAATTTTTTTGATAATCAATAAATTCAATGTAATTGGGATGTGTTATTTGAAAGTTTGCAGGACGAATTTTCTAACGAGGCAAATCTTATAAAAATCCAATAGTCGGACTCTGATCTGTAGTAAAACAAATTGACAAATATCTACCTTTTTTTTAGGCTACCAACTAAAATCTTATAAAATGTCCGTAATGCCCTTAATGGATGTAAAAATGTTGTTTGTTTATGGTCGCGTGAACCCATCTGTTGGGTTCTATGAGGAACTATTGTCGCGTGAACCCATCTGTTGGGTTCTATGAGGAACGTCGTCGATATGTACATTTGAATATAATAAATTAAATCCTAATGCAGCGAAACTATAGTTAGGATCAGGACTTAGGTTTAAAATTTTTGCCGACTTCGAGACGACTTACACAGCCTACGGGACTGGACGAACAATTCTGAGACGCATCCTTGAGCCTACGTTCCTTGCTTCTCCTCGTCAAACTTCGTGTTGCGTGTTTCGGGATCGCCAGATCATCGCGTGGTGCTGTTGCACTGCGTGCATGTGCGCCTCGCTGCGTCGCGGTCGTGCGCTAGCAGCTGCGCACGGTCTGCGTGCTCAGTGCATCGTGCACGCGTGTAACGCCCGAACATTTTTAATAATTATTAGCTTGACTTTAGTTCCATTTATAGCAAGCTTTTATTTATTTTAAGTTTTACTTATTTATTTGATGCATTTAATTATTATTAGTTGTATTAAATTGAGTTATAAATCCTAAGTCTAAAAAATCTTAGCCCTAACCAAGCTCACCCGAGCCTTTCCCGACATCCACCGAGCCTTAGCCACGTGAAGCCGGGCCCTAGCACCCGTGCCCAGGCCCTAGGCCAGCAGTCCAACACGTTGCCCCAGCTCCTAGGCGCGCGCCCAGCACTCCGCGCCCGCAGCTCGCG